CACACCACAATGAAACAACACATTACCACAATAAAGATACATCGAAATACACGAAGAGGTTACTTAAGGACTTGATGTAGTTGTCGAAGGTGGTGGAGTGAAAAACGGAATGGATGGGAAATTTGCCGGAAGAGATGGAATTGTTGTCGGAAATGAAGGCAAAGTTGGCATTGAAGTAGGAATGGTCGGAAGTGTTGGTTGTGGTAAAGTTGATGGCAATGGAGGGATTGAAGTGGGAATAGTCGGAAGTGTTGGTTTTGGCAAAGTTGATGGCAATGGAGGGATCGAAGTGGGAATGGTCGGAAGAGTTGGTTGTGGCAATGTTGAAGGCAATGGAGGTAGTCCCATAGTCGGGATAGGCATGTTAGGAATTTGAGGAAGAGGTTGTTGTTGGAGAAGATGGCGTGAGGCTGAGCAAGTGTTGATCATAATAGAGGAAGAGATACTCACTAAGAAAGCAATGAGGAAAACCTTGTATGATGCCATTTTGGTTGTGTTGATGAATCTTTAGCTATGGTTATAAGCCACTCTCTAATTGCTTCTTCGGTTTATTGCTTTGTGTTGATGAAAATTCAAGGACATGCTATTGAGTTTATATAGTGGCAAGAGTCTCTATGGATTACAAAGACATTGTATAATTTTTTAGTATGGTTTTTGGTAGGTGTGTCTTACGGTTTCTTTGTGGTTGGCTTTGAGCCTATGTTAGTTCAACTTAATGTGCTTTTTCAGATTATTTTGATTAAAGGTCGTTCAACAATCAAAACCCTCCAACTCTCTAATACACGTGTTATCCATTTATGGACCTTGGTATATCCGTATATGCTAATTCAAAGCCATAGTCTAGTAATTGGGAAATCAATTGGTCCTAATCGGATTTAGATCATAAGGAAAAAAATAACAAAAACACATTGTTTCTTTTTTTAATCAAACAGATACATCTCTTAATTAAATAGTCTTTTTATTATTAAAAAAAAAGCAAATTTTATTGAAAGTAACAAAAGAAGAGGTAAAGGAGACACAATTCAAGTTCCCCAAAAGAACCAAGACCAAACACACAAGTTTGTACACAAATTAACCAATTATCTTTTGGTAACCGGAAAATTTCCAAACTTAAGTAACATAAAATTGAATCAAAGTTCTTGTATATACGCCCGTACGTCGTCTCACTTCACCGCCGGGTAAAGATGCTCCGGCAACCTCAACTCACCGACCATAACCAACGGTTTAGCCAAAAACATATCATGACTAGACACCATCAACTCAACACGTGTCTCATTCTCCGGTAACTTCCACGTAAAACCTTGAAGAAGTCTCGCAAGCAACATCGTAGTCAACGCCGTACCTAACGCCGGAGCAGCACAACCTCTTTTTCCGGTACTAAACGAGATAAACCGGAGATCATTCTCAGTCAAAGTAACTTCAGAACATTCATTAAGATGTCTCTCCGGTTTAAAGCTGAGTGGGTCGGACCAAACTTTAGGGTTACGACCTAATCCATATCGACTAAGAAGGACTTGACTTCCTTTAGGGATGTGATATCCGGCGACGGTTGTGTCGGAAAGTGCCACGTGTGGGAGGTTAAAGGCGGCGACGGGATGGAGTCGGAAAGCTTCACGGAGGATAGCTTTGACGTAGTTTAGTTTTGGTATGTCGGATTCTTGGACAAGTCTTTCTTTTCCGACGACTCTATCGATCTCTTCCATTGCTTTACGGAGAATCTCCGGTTTGTTTACCATCTCAGCCATGGCCCATTCGACGGCGTTTGATGGATTGTCTGGTGCTGCCATTACAAGTTCCTATTGATCATAAAAAATGTTTTTATTAGTTTTGGAATCTTAATAATTAGAGTATCTTTTCCATGTAAATTATTATTACCTATGACCCATTAAAAGTACAAGTTGCATGACCAAATAATTATAAACGGACAAAAGGAAAAATGAAGCAAATGTTTAGAAAAACTAATATTGCAAACTAGCATAATCAATGTTTAACCCGAAAAAGTTAATTTTTGTGTTGTTTTAAAAATATATATTTTTTTATCATCAAAAGGTTAACAAATATGGATAGATTCAAATAAATATGTATAAACAAATGCTAAATTTGATAAATAGTTTTTTTTTTTCTTTTCTCGAATACAAATTTACAGTTTCAAAAAAAAAAAAATTTAACGAAAATTGTTCTTTTTGAAATTATGTTCGGATTAAAACCTTGTATTATATATAGCTCTATTATATATGAAGGAATGTAATGTAACGTGATTATTACCTTAATGGTTGGTTTGATTTCATCGGCGGTAAGCAATGGGTTGCCTTCTTCGTCCTTGATGGAGATGAAAATATCAAGAAAATCTTCGATTTGAGTTCTCTTTCCTTCTCTCCACATCTTGATCCTCTCGTTGATGATAGGATCATGATACTTGTCCATAATCGCACTCGAATCTCTCATGATCTTCTCGTGACCATTAAGATCAAGACCCGTGAGCATCGGTAGATAATCGGAGATGCAAAAAGCGAAAGTAAACCCTAATCCTTCAAACATAGCTTCCATATGCTCAATATCCTCTCTTGTCGGTCCACCGTCCGGTGCAGTGTTTTCAGAGAACGTTCTTGTCCCGAACATAAGCTTCTTGATTGCATTTCCACAATAATGCCTAGTCATGAACCGGAAATCGACCGAGCCCGAGTTCTTAACCATGTTGTATACCCAACCGGTTAAATGGTCGTTCTCTTGCGCTCTCTTCTCGTGAAGCCACCTGTGCCTCGCCGGACAAACGAGTTCCGTCATCACAACTTTCCTCATTTTCTTGAATTGTTCACCAAAAGGAGTGATCACGCATGTTTTGTATCCATTAGAGAGGATCTTTTGAGCGTAAGTCATTGGTCTTGAGGCAAAGAGAGCGTCTTGTTGCTTGAGTATCTCACGTGCTATCTTAGGGCACGTGACGGTAATCACGTGAATGTTTCCTAGCCTCACGCAAGCTATCTCGGTGTTAAGTTGCTTCATGATGCTGTGGAGCCACCGGAACACGGGACGGTTCTTTAGCATCGCCGGGATCATTCCGATGATTGGCCATCCGGTGGGACCAGGAGGGAGAGACGGTTTCTTTTTGTCGGGATTCGTGATCAGTTTCTTGAGTAGCATCACTAAGGTTATCGCCACAAAGGCTTGAAGTGTTGTGAGGAGATACAAGTTGCTAAACGACGACGTTTCCGTCGCGGTGGAAGTGAGATCCGAAGAGTTTGAAGTAAAAGTGTTCATGTTTTTTTTTTGTGTGTGTAA